AAGCACAACCAACGATGTCGCTGCAGAGGCACCAACTTGCTATCACGAATATCATATATATATATATATATATATATATGAGGAGATAGTTGCATAGTGGTTGAAGAATAGCAAGAACGAGAAATTCATTTTGATCACCCGTTAACATCCGTGTAGTTTCCAAATGAGTGCACTTCTTCGAACTGTACATCGTCAGACTTGCTACAACGAGAATTTGGGTGTTCATCCATGAAACCAATTCTAGTATGTTGGGAGGTTGAGTATGGTAAAGCTGAGGTCGGAAAAACGGTGGTTTAGTCCGAAAAGATGCACTCTTTAGCAAACCATACGGATGTTTACGGGTGGCTAAAATGAATTTCTCTTTTTTGATATTCTCTTACCCCTATACAAAGATCACCTCATGCTTTGGTTGGTACGATATTCGCAATGCCGCAGTATATTTTATTAGCGAAAAGCACCAACAATGGTGCTGCTGCAGTGGTGCCAACTTTCACGAATATTAGCGATCCAACCTGAGGTCCTATTCAGTGGTTAGAGTTGATACTGCTAGATTGTTTCAAAAGTACACAAAACTTGAGAGCGCTGTGCACATCCCAAAGACTGTCGCACTGACCAGGACAGATTTGGAACAGTAGGAAATCCAGACGTCTCATTCACCCTGGTATATGCGATAAAAACTCCAAAAATAAGGGAATAGCAAAATGTATCTTTTAAAATTACCTGTTTTGTGCGTGCTTGGAAGAAGGAAAGACGTGTTACAATATAAGATATGAACCAAATTCTGGATCAGTTTTCAGGTTTGTTTTTTCAGACTACCCAGCAAGTACGAATGTCCATTCGATTCTTCGGTTCTGTTTTTTTAAAGAACAATTCTCACTCCAAACGTTTTAGCGGTAGGAGTTAAAGTTCGGCCTTGTTTATCTAACATTTAAGAAGTGCATAGCGAGTACCGTGGTAGGGAAGTTCGAAATCCTTAGATAAAGGGCGATTCCTACGAAAAACCTCATCTTGTTGTTAGTGTAATGTATACGTTCATTGCTGATCATAAGCTATTTATAGACAATATCGATCGCATTTCAGTAGCTTATTACCATGAGTCAGGAAAATCCCTTACTTGTTTTACATTTTAACGTGGATCTGAGTCCTCTTCGATTTTCGCGTGTGGACACTGATAATAATGATCTATCTCCTCTGAAAACACCTCCAGACCTGGATAAAGCAGATATCACTGAGGTTTTAAGAAGACTTTCAAGCGGAAGTCAGGCCTGGTTTGAGGTGCGGAAGAAAAGTTTAGCAAAAGATTATGCAACGCGAACGGTGACCAACGTTCTTCCAAACCAGTCACTATACTAAGGGCTCACTTGTGAAGATTTCTACACTACTTATAAGCAGATAGAATTATTTGTCGTCTAGAAAAAAGG